TATATATGATAAGTTAAAAATTAATTTTTATTTAAAATTTGACATATTTAAAAATGTTTATTTTGAATTTTAAGTGTGTATTTTGATAGTGTAAGAAAAAGGTTTACGTTCAAAAATACTTAATTTGATAAAATTTGACAATTCTAAATGGTGTAATTTTAAAGTCAATTTATGGTTTTACTTTAATAAAAATTCATATATAATTTCATTATAATATATTCTAATTTATTGTATTTTTTTTATCAAGAGAATCAAAATAATTAAGAAAAATACAGGTGACTTTCCAATTGTCTTATTAGAATTTTCAATTTATTTTATAAATGATGATTCTTATTATAAAATAAATTCAAAATTAATAAATTAAAATATTTCTAATTGGTACTTTACAACATACCTATTTCAAAAAAAAAAAATAATAATGCAGTTAGAGATATAATACCTATTTCATTTAATTTTTTTACTTATATTTAAATTTATTAACTGAAATAATTTTTCCCAGTTTGTACTAAAAAAAAATAATGAGTAATTAGTAATATGGAAAATTACTTCTGTAAATGAAGAAATTTAATAATAAAAAAAACTTTTTTATTCTATTTTGTGCAGTATTTTTGATTTTATTAATTTAAAAAGAATTTTCATGATACTATGGTAATGCATAACTATTTAAATACAATATTAAACATTATATATATATATAAATTTTACTAGATATTGCATATATTTTATTAATTTTCATTTGATGTAAAAACATGAATATAATTATAATTTACTTTAAAAATGAGTAAAAAATATCAAATAGCCCCCATTAAATAATGTAATTAAGTTAAATGCTTAGTGAATTATGATTTGTGTCAAGTGTTACTGTTAAATGCTTTTATATAAAACTTATTTAAAAAGATTAAGAACATTTATTCTTATCCTTTTATTTATCAAAACCAGGTATTTAAAATTATATTAAAAATATATAAATTTGATAAAACTAAGATAAATCCCATTTATCTTTTTCCCCGACTTTTCATTGGCTTTTATATAATTTTGCATGTTGATTTGTGTCTTTATTTTAGGAACTACATATCAAGAATGCTGGAGCCCTAGTCTGCTTACAATTAAATTTTAATTTGTTGATTTAAGTTTTTAATCAGATAATTCCTAATAGATTAAAAATTGTCCTTAAAATTGCTAGTTAAATATGGCTTGTAAGCAAAAGTCAATTATTTATCATTTTGCTTTGTCCAACACAGCCATTGAGTTGCATGCAACAGTTTTTAACCATTTCCACTGCTGTTTGTCAGTGTATTTATACATTGCCATGGCATTGTTTTATTTGTCTGTACTGCAGACTTATTAATTCACAATTGTATTTCCATTTTTTATTTGTTGCTCAAACAAAATTACAAAAAGTGAAGTTATTCTTTTGGTTGAATAAAAAGATTCACATTAAATTATATTTCACTTTTTTTTTTTCTTTTTCTCTACCCATTTATGCTAAGCAACATTTTTATTCATTAAATTGCCTGTCAATCTTGTTTAAGTTGGATAATTGGGATTATGCTCAACTATATTTTATATTTCTATTAAATTATAGATAAAATTTGAGACAATCATGTTAAATTAAAACTTTGCAATCATTTTAAAACAAACATACAAAAAATATATTGAAAATATGAAACCGGAACAGATGATATCTGAAATTTGCTTATTCTGAAGATTTGAATATGACCATTCTAATAATAAACTCTGTTATTTGTCTTGAATGAATCAGTTGTCACCTAATAATAAACAATTTAAATTTATGCTATTCGAGTTTTTGTAAATTTGTTAAAAGATTAATTGCCAAAAAATATAGAATAATCCTTTTTATAAATTACTTTATATTTGAATAATCCTCCTAAAATAAGAATTTGACTATAACATTTTATCTACTGAATATGAAAACTAATTTATATTACATTTAATTTTCAATAAAATTCATTTCAGCTACGATACACATTACATCTGTTCCGGAAACTTAATCAAACAACTACTTAGAAACTAGAATTATCTAATCAATTATGGCTTAGATCACTGTTAATGAAGAACTTTTGTTTTTCTAAAAGATCCTTCAGCAATCCAAAATGAAAATATGACAGTACATAGTTCAATATGATACTAGTTTGCATCATGCTGCAAATGGATTTGATAAAGGATATCAAAACAGAACAGATTAGAGCTTGTTTCATGTTTACACATTTATCTCAGTGGTATTCAGACAAATTGAATAACCTTGTACTGTACAATAATCAAATTCTCATTTGCGTTTCAATAAAATGTTAAAATATCACATACACAAACTGTATATTTTTCTTTATGGATTTAATTAACAAAATGGTACCAGTTTTCATACTTTTGTTGATTAATTTAGTTAATGCTAAATGTAGATTTGTATATGAATAATCATTTGACCATCTCTGAAGTTAGACTATATCAAATGTGTTTTAATATGAGAACATACACAAAAATTACCTATTGTAATGAGATTTATTTGCACAAATTTCACTGAGTCATTATTATCTGTAAATGTAGTCATTCATTTTAGTAAATTAGATATGATGTAGGATGGCTGAAGTAATTAGCTGAAATGTTCTGTTTAATGTGACCAGATCATCTACTATATAAAAATTCATTAGCACTTTACAATATTAGTATTTTACTAGGTTTTCTCATTTCCCGGTTCTTTGCTTGTCCCCGGGATTTCGGGAAAAAGTGAACTGTTTCTAGTAATATAATTAATTATTTTTAAGATATAAAATAAATCTTGAAATAGTGATATAATCATGTTTCATTTTTTTAAAATAATTTAATACATTCTTCAACCTGCAAAATAATAATAATAATAATTCTGTGTAAAATATGTATTAAAGATTGCCTTTGAATTATGTAGAAATTTTAACAAATAGAAAACATTTATTAAAGTTTGTTGGAAACTGCATACAACAAAAAAACCTTTTGAATTGAGTTGAAAATTTAAAGAACGAACTTAAATCGAACTTCTAAGTTAGAAAGTAATTATCGTTATTTAAATAAAACATAAGTAGTAGTGGCTTGGCCCACTTTGATTACAAAATTATTTGTAAAAATTAAAGTGGCCCAAA